CTTTTCCTCCGGCTCCCCACATATCTGAAAAAGGACTTTTTATTGTCCTTGATGCTCAAAGCTAGTTGGAGTTCAGTTGCAGCCTTGGCTTTCCTGGTTTGGTCCCTGCAGGACCGGACCAGTGCAGAATATTCCTCCTTGGAGGTGACTCCCATCCTCCATCCTTTGTAGGCCTTTCTTTTTAGCCTCAGGAGGTCTGCCAGGTCCCTGGAGAGCCAGGGGGGCTGCTGTGCCCTCTTGCTGCCTTTCCTCCGAGATGGAATAGAATTAGCTTGTGCATTCAGGATCACTCCCTTAAGAAGCAACCACTCTTCCTGAACTCCCCTCCCCCTGGGGTCATAGTCCCTTAGGGCCTCACTGACGAGCCTCCTGAGCTTGTCAAAGTCGTCTTTCCTGAAGTCAAGGACTTCAGTGTTGCTGACTGACTTGCCAGCTTTACGGCGGATGGTGAAGGTGATCAGCTCGTGGTTGCTGTCATCAGCTTCCCATCGACCACTAGGTCACCGATAAGGTCATCCCCAGTAGCCAGTACCAGATCACCTAACATAGGGATCATTTATCTGGATGATCATTAAAATATGAAATCAGTAGGCTTAATTCAGTGGGAAGTGATTGTGATGTATCATTGGAACTATGGTATATACAATATTTTAAAAGATAGCTGGCAACTTTCCCAGTGGCCTCATAAAAGGCCCAGTTATCACTTCCTCAAGAGTCCCAGCTGTCCGTTTTGGTGACTAGTGATACAATGATATATCAGCTGCTTTTATGAACTCCTGCTGTCCTTTCTGCAAATCAGGCCCCATCTATCTGTGAATGCTTCTGCAATTCTTTAATTTTTTCCAATATTATCACTAAACAGTATTCAAAATTGGCATCCCCTCAGGTGTCTAATTTCATACATAATGATGCTGTTTAGTCACTGTTTGAAAACCAGGAACTAAATATAATACAACAGTAGTACTGTTACAGACATTCTAAAAGCTTTTGCTGAAAAGATCTGGAAAATGTCTCATAAAATTAACAGACGGACTTCAATAAATTAATTAAACTTAAGTTAACATGAGAAGGAGGAAAAAAATTAAATGGCCTCTGAAGAGGCACTCTATGAAGACTTGATCATGCTCTCTGCTGTACTCTGTATCAATAGATCAAGATGTAAAAATTAGATCTCTATATTACTGAATTCTCTGAAAATGTTTTAAAAATAGAAACTTACTGATGCAATGAATCAGAACTAACTCCCCAGAACCACAAATCTTCTCATATAATTAAAATTAATATATCTGTTCTTCCTTGCCTTTCATTTTTGGAAATTTACATTTAAAAAAGAATATAATAAAATTGTAAAACCTTCAAGGCATGCTTGAGCTTCCTTTAATTTTTTTTCTGTAGCTACAGATAGCAAACGAGACAGCTCGCCAAAGCTGCAGACTCTAATGGTTGATGCAGTGAGGAGAAGCAGTGGTTGACCATCCTTGTCTTTGTCTTCAGACTGAACAGTTGTTCCACTAGAAGAATAAAATAATACCTTTGTTAAGGAAGAGCACTTATTACTGGCAAATTTTAAGAAAACAGGCTAGGCCCTTCCTTTTTGGAACCACCCTTTAGGTAGTTGAAGGCTGCTAACAGATCGCCCTCAGTCTTTTCTTCTGCAAATTATATAAACCAAGTTCCCTCAGCCTCTTCTCATAAATCATGTGCCCCAGCCCCCTAACCATTTTTGTTGCCCTCTGCTGGACTCTTTCCAACTTGTACACATCTTTTCTGTAGTGGAGGGCCCAAAACTGGACACAGTACTCTAGATGCAGTCTCACCAGAGCAGAATAGAGGAGAATAATTACTTCCCTCTATCTTCTGGCAACGCCCCTACTAATGCAGCTCAGTATGCTGTTAGCTTTCTTGGCAGCAAAGGCACACTGTTGATAAAAATCCAGCTGATTGCCCACTGTAACCCCCAGTCCTGTAATTTGTTCCAGTTAGGAGAAAAAATTGTGCCAGAGTTGAAGTTTTCTTTGACGTGCTGTTTTTATTTACAAAGTATACAGTATATAAAATCCTGTCTTCCTGAACACAAGAGAAAGCATACATGCCTGCTCTGTAATAATGTCTATTCAACCCTATGGCAATTTTTCCAGATCCAGCTGCCAAGCTACATTCCCAGTTTTGGCGTGGAAGGCAGCCATGCTTAAATCCTGTCACCCAATACAGCTTTAGTTCATCCTTATGGATAATTCTGTGTTTACATCTGGGACCCAACTATATCCTCTGTTTCTTGCATTTGCATCAGTACCATGCAAGGTTCCATCCCAAGACCTACCTAGTTTAGCACTCCAGTCTGCAGCCCATCTTCCGCCTATGATTAAGGAACTACACCATACTTTTAAATCATGACTTTATATCATATACCTTTGAGCTATCTTCAAGTTCTCTCTAACAAAGTTGTAAGCTTCCACTTGTCAGTTATAAAGTTTCTACACAATCAAAATGGTCTCCTTTTGTTCCTCTTCCCATGCCAATTTTTCCACAGCACTAGAATTTAATTTAGCTGTTTCACTCAGTTCTTATATTATTGTCAATTCCTCTCATTCTACAAACTGAATTTATCTGTTATAATTGTTCAATTATGTAATGAATTAATTAGAACCCCCCCCCTTTTCCTTTATAAGCATGAGACACTGTGGTCTATGACTTCTTGATTTGTACTAGAGGTAAGACTTTACCCTCAAAGTCCTTGTTAGAGTTTATCTCTGTTAGAAAGTTCCAAACTCATTTGCTCTCCACTATTTCAAGGAGAAACTTTCTATGGCATTCAGATTGTTGGCAATCTCCAGTCATTGCAGACTGAAACTCATGTAGCTGAACTTCACAATTGCTCCGGACATTTTGTACTTGTTTCTTCAACAGAAGTTTCACCACTGCCTGCAAGCTATTTCTCAGCCCTTGCTCAGAAATCTCCAGATGCTGCTTTAATTCCTTTTGTGAAGACTCCAGCTCCTGTTTTAGTTCTTGTTTTAATCTTGTTATGAAGTCTTCAACTGTTCCTTTAGATCTTGTTAAAATTCCTTTTGCAAACCCTCCAGCTCCTGTTTTACATCTTGCTTCAATTCCTTTTGACCATCCTTAATTTTTGCAAGCAGTGCCATCATTTGTTCCATCTTAGCTTCACAGAAATACCAGCTCATGATTTCTGTTCTTGGAAACTGGATTCCACCCCTGACAGCAGCATTACCTCTTCTGACACAAGCAGCTAGCCAAAATCAGAATCCTGCAAGTTGTTTCAGTTAAGAGAATCATATATTTCATAGAAATCACAGAAAACAGGGCTGGAAAGGACCTTGAGAGATCACCACAAGAAAGGATCGACTACATTGATCCAGATGGGTAGCTGTTTTTGCCTGTTCTTAAAAACCTTCAACCATGGAGATTCCATAGTTTCTCTAAGTAATCTATTCTAGTGCTTACAGATATCCTTACAGACAGAAAAAAATTTCCAAAGGCTAACTTAAAACTCCTTTGCAATTGAAGCACATTCTTTTAGTCTTATTCTCGGGGACATGAAAAAGAATCTATGCCTTTCTTTGCAGTAACCTCTTACATATTAAAAGACTGTTGTAAGATCTCCCCTAATTCTTTTGTTTACTAGACTAGATTAAGTCAGCTCTCCACTCTTTCCTGATAGGTCATGTTTGTTGCTCTCTTCTGGATTTGCTCTAGTTGGTAAACATCTTCCATGAAGTGTGGTTTCCAAAACTGTACACAGTATTCCAGTTGAGGCCTCACCAGCACTGAATAGAGTGCAAGGATATTATCACATTTAACATGACAATGTTTATACACTTCAGCACGGTGTTTGCTTTTTTCACCAGAATATGGCGTTGTTGGTTTGTGTTCAGTTTATAATCCAGTATACACTCCATATCCATTCCTACAGAACCGCTAGTGTTTAGGGTTCTCTGCCAATTTCTTGGCAAGTGATCTAGCCACAACTGTTTGAATGATAGACACTGCCATCACCGTTGTGTTTGCGAGTGATTACAGATGCCAACAGTACTAATGTTGTTTGTATTAATGAGATGTTAGCCATGACACATCTCATGCACGCATAATATATAGAAGACTTAGGTACACTTTAGGCTCTTCCAGGCTCTAACATAGATTGCAATGGAACTTCAATGGAAATTAGGTTTCTAAGTGCTTGATCTGGATCACTTCTGAATATACTCACAAATCTCAGTTTAGATCCCTGAGGAATTGTTTGGGTCAAAGTGGAAGCACTTAATGATCCTAGGTGCCTATGTATTTCTGCAGGTGTTGAAGTAGGGTTGACCCATTCCCAATCAAAAACCCCAGAAAATGATAAGGATGACATAAGAAATCATGCAAGTAACTCCCAAGTTTCACAGTCAGATATCTGAAGCAGATTATTGGCACAGGGGAAAAAGGATTCTCAAAGAAAGCTAGTGTTAGGACTTCTACAGAGAGGACTGAAAAAGTCTGGCCTGAGAAAGCTCTAGGAGAAGAGTTCTCCAGTGAACTGTGAGAGCTAGAAAAAAAACAAAACCTTTACACTTCGGTTGCAGTTCACAACCAAGTTGCTGAAAGATACTTTAAGAAGTTAGTTTGAAACTCTGAAACACAAAAGTTTTGCCCAACATTACAAGCCAGATGGTGGAAGAAACAAAAATAAAACATATTTCTCCTGACTGACTCTCTTTTCTAAATACTAATAAACTATGCTGGCTTGCCGATAGTGAATGTTATCCTAAAGGAAATGCTTAGTTGATGTCCCTTATCAAACAAATTTAGCAAAAATATATATAAATATGTTAAAGCTGATAACTGAAATACACAATTATTAGAAAATTCAGAACTATGCTGCCCAGGGACACCAGCATTCAAGAACATGCATATGAATCACTGTGGCAGTGATTCTCAACCAGGGTGCCACAACAGGTATCAAGATCAGATTGGGACAAATTCCCCAAAATGTTTGTGCAACAAGACCTACTAATAGCTTGTCCTCTGTTATCGTGGCAGATGTCTACACGGTTATCCTGTGATATTCTCATGGGGTTTACAGACCAATTGGTCCCCTAGGCATCCCATAATGCACTGCTTCAGCCCCAACCCTGCCCCCTCTTGACATGGGCAGATCTAGAATTTTGAAAAGAGGGATGCAGATGGTGAGGTGCATCATCACATATGAAGCAACATGGTTTTCTTCAGTTAGAAATAAAGTAGTAACTTTACTAGTATGTTCGGGGTCTAGGGATGTATTGAAGCAAAAAGAAATATTACTTAATGGGAATGTGTTAAAAACAATCTGTAGGGCTGTAAAATAGGAGCTTCATAAACGTGGACCAAAGGATAGCTTGATTGGTGGAATATCAGGACCCTTAAAAAAAGAGAGTTATTAACACCTGTGGAATCGTAGAGCGCCCCTCTATCTGGGCTCTGGTCAGACAGCAGTTGGAATACTGCGTGCAATTCTGGGCACCGCACTTCAAGAGGGATGTGGATAACCTGGAGAGGGTCCAGAGAAGGGCCACTCGTATAGTTAAGGGCTTGCAGACCAAGCCCTATGAGGAGAGACTGGGGCACCTGGACCTCTCCAGCCTCCGCAAGAGAAGGTTGAGAGGCGACCTTGTGGCTGCCTATAAGTTCATCACAGGGGCACAGAAGGGAATTGGTGAGGTTTTATTCACCAAGGCGCCCCCGGGGTTTACAAGAAATAATGGCCACAAGCTAGCAGAGAGCAGATTTAGACTAGACATTAGGAAGAACTTCTTCACAGTTCGAGTGGCCAAGGTCTGGAACGGGCTCCCAAGGGAGGTGGTGCTCTCCCCTACCTTGCGGGTCTTCAAGAGGAGGTTGGATAGGCATCTAGCTGGGGTCATCTAGACCCAGCACTCTTCCCTGCCTATGCAGGGGGTCGGACTCGATGATCTATTGAGGTCCCTTCCGACCCTAACATCTATGAATCTATGAATATGAATCTATGGAATGAAGAGTTAGGAGGGATTAGGTAGAATATAATAAGCCATGAAGTCAATTGACTCTCTCAGGACTGCCCGACTAGAAATCCTGCTACCACTGGCAGGAAGTTGGTTTTAAACTTTGGGTGGACCATGAACTGAAGGGAGGGTTCAAATGTGCCAGTGTACCCCCCAGGATCTGCCCCTGCCTTTTGAACTCTGGCCCTGACTGCAGAACTCTACTGCCCAGAGGTGTCAGGCCCCAGTTGGCCACCTCCCATCTATTAATTGTGTTGCAGTGCAACATGCTAGGCATTTTGTGCTAGCCACCCAACCAAGACCAGCCTCAGACTCTGCATCCTCTGAACACCACCAACCACTGGGAACCTCCAGGACCCATCAGACCCATCCAGAATTTCTGTTCCTTTATATACCTATCTAGGAACCTCCAAAATCCCTTTGACCCATCCAGGACCTCTGTACCCCTACACACCCATCCATTCTTCCTCCACCACGGGCCCTCAATCCAACAA